TGAAGGGAGGGCAGGGGAAGGGGGAAAAAATAAGAACCAAGAGAGTATGTAAAGGTGCATATCTCCAATGATGAATGTCATTATATTGTACACCTAAAATGTACCAATAAAAAGATATACAAAAAAATAAAATAAAGCTTAACTATCCTAAACTAAATGTAAAAAAAACCCCCAAAAAACCCAAAAAGATGAATAATTTTATAGGACCATTCATTTAGGCCAAGATGAGGTTTTGTATAAATGTACAATTCTAAGTGACAGAAGTATTTGTGACATGTCTATAGTCCTTGGATGAAGTTGAAATAACACTTCATTTTATTCTCTGAAGAGTAACTCTCCACTCTGCTGTGTTCACAAAATCTTTATAAATAGTTTACAATACCATTCAGTAAGTTTCCACTTACTCTATTATAATCTGTATCAGCCCTTCACAAGGTGATAGCCTTCCGACTAGATCTGTGTGTATTTCAAACTACTTCAAGTTCACATTTATATATAGTATTTTGGTTTATGTACACTGATGACTAATCACATCTGCTATGGGTGGATTTCTGAAGTTTAATTTTCAGAAAGTAGCATTAGTTTCTTTGGTTCCAAATTTTGGTGATGCTCTTCACTGTTACCCCAGTATAATGCTAATGCTGCCTTATAACACTTTGAAAGTAGATAAAAAGCAGTGAAAAGGTGATACAGAAAAACAATTAGAGGCAAGAAGAAAAGTTTTAAAATCTTAACAAATCTCATTATAGTTCTTTTATTCAGACTTTCAAGGTACATCACCTGATAGCCTCGTATGTGTGAACTATCATGCCAAATGTGGAATACAAATATAAGATAATTTTCCTTAAATGCAAATCTTACAAAGAAGAAATGTATTTATCCTTAGAGCTGTAGATAAATTGTTACTAAGTGCTTTAGAGGAGGAAGGAGGCTTCAAAAAGGAAATGACATCTTGTCTGAGTCTTTTAAAAAAGGCACCTGACAGAGGGTTAATGAACATCCTGAATCAGGTATCTGTTTATATCTATGAATGCAGATGACAAACTAGTGAAACTGAGTAGCAGTATTTTTGTATAGCAAGAGATGAAACTGGATAAATCATCAAAGTCTTTATAGACCATGCAAAAGATTTAAGCAGTATAGGTAACAGGGACCCATCAGAGGTTTCAAAGTTGTGGACCAACATGATTAAATCTGTTCTCAGGGCAATATGTAGAAACAATTGGAAAATGCAAATGAACAGGAAGAGAAAGAGATCAGTTAAAAGTCAAATGTGAACAACCAGTTAGAGGTCATGCTTTTAGGGGGATAGGAAGGAATGATTAAAAATTCACATACACACACGCAAAATTCACTGGGAGGCCGACTCAATAGAATTTAGGACTGGACTGGGGAGATGCAAGGCTGAACCAAGTCTCTAGATTAGGTCAAGGGCACACAACAATGACAAGGGACATGGAGGATAGGACAAAGAGCAGATGACTTTGGTTACAGACATGTTGAGTTTAAGATAGTTAATAGACTCCCATATGGATCTAAGTAGAGAGTATTTGATCCAACCTAGAGCACAAATGAGGTTTAAAAAAATGTAAAATTACTAACCAATCTGAAGATGATCAAGCTCTGGTGTAAGGAGTCCAGCAGGATAGATTTTGATCAAAAAGTAGATGTATTTATTATTAGGAAGATCTGGTTCTTTGAACTCTGAGAATAAGGAATAAGATACAGGTGTATATGGCTTTACTATTTCTGTACCTAGAAAAAAGTTCAAAACAAAGAAAATGAATTTTAAAAACTTAAGCTCTTAAAGATGAAATATACAAATTTTATGCTATCAATAGTTAAAACTAATATGCATATAATTCTAATTATATGCTCCATATCTATTAACATATGATTGATATATATCTCAAGCCTGCAAGTGCTGTAATAATTTTACCAAATCAATACTTTAACCATAATACAGGCAATCTATTTTTATTAAAAGTGTAGCTTAAACTCGTAAGGATACACATTAACAAATGTATCTATTCCCTCACTCTCAGCATATGAACTCTGTAATGGACCAACACAAAAGTGACACCAAAAATTTCCCGTGGAGATATTAGACGGTATTTACATAATCATTTTAATTATATACCAAATACTTAAAAATAGTTAGTGAAGGCTATGAGATCATTTTCAGAGAGAAAGGGAGGGATTTCACTTTTCATTTTATATATTTTGAATTATTTTAATGTTTTCACATATTGTATGTCATTTTGGTAAGTGAATGAAAGGAATATTAATCCAACTACTTCAAAGAACACATTATTTTTAAAAGGTAAAAGAAGAATTCATGCTATAGTTTTAGTTAGCCAACTTCCAAAGAGAAAAATCATCACACATCTTAAAGACCAATATTTAATACACTGTCCTTAACATATACATAATTTATATGTAAATTAAAATACAATGGCAATAAGTGCACTGAGGAAGAATCAGCTTTTGAGTGGTAATCTGGAATTAGTGACAATGAAGAGAAAAATTTAAAGGTACCATTGTGATATACCTTATCCACTAAAACCTAGCTAGTAATGTTAAGACTAGTTGGTGGAAAAACTATGATTAACATCAGAATTTACCTTTTGCAACCTCAAAAGGCCAAGAAAATGTTGGATATCAAAACAAGGGTATTTGGGGCCAGGGATTTAGCTCAGTGGTTTCACTGCCTGCTGCACAAGCACAAGGACCGGAGTTCGATCCCTGGTACCAAACAAAACAAAACAAAAAACAAAAGAAGGGTATTTAAAGCAATTAAGTGAGGGTAATCTGGGATGAAACTGAAGGAAAAAGAATTCACACGAGAAAGAATATAATATATTTTAAAGCTTCTTATACTGGTGGAACATGTAAAAAATAATGCATAATCAGCCACTTGTTTTGAATTTTAAGAATTCAACTTCATAAGCGATAAAGCCATAAGTACCAAGTAAGAGATACTACTATGAGTTTCTAGTAGTCTTCAGGAGGACCATTATAAATCTTGCCTTTTTCTTCAGGGTTTTCTCAGTAATAAATTACAATGCTGATGGAATCATCTCTCCACCTAGGGCAATTTCTCTCTTCCATATGATAATGGGACACAACCATAGTTCCAACATGTAGGAGACACTGCATCCACAAACCAAGATTATGGCTAATGCTAAATTCAGCTGCCCACCAACATTTATTAATCACTTAAATGAATGTTTACAAAATAGACTGGTACTCTTTTGAACTGCTTGTAAAGGGAGAAAATGTTCCCCCAAAGCCAGTAATTGCCTTACCTGTGATAGTTACCTTGAGGTAAACATGGTGCCCAACTGGCACCTGGAGATGAGTGCTTGGTGGCAGCATCAAACAGAAAAGCTTTGTATCATGAGTGACATCTTCCTTGGAAACTAACTGGCACTTTCTGTAGTATAAACCTAGAAAGTAATGCATCCTCTTATTGATACATAAATTAATAAAAAGTAATAATAGACAACTAAGTGAAGCACATACTTAGTTTTTGTCACTAAAAGGTTTTAAAAATGCCACTAAAATGCCTATACATTTTAAAAGTTCATCAAAATTATAAGGCTATTTTTTCATTTTATTTCCTGAAATACTTCTATAATCTAAAAAATGAATTAATAAAATAAGCATTATTTTATGTCTCTTACCATAGCATGCCAAAACCATTATATTCTAAGAAATTAAAACATAATTTTTTGTAAATTTACTTTTTAGATAATTCCATCCTTTAAACTTTATGTTTACAATTAAATTAATTGTATATATGAAAACTATCTGGTAATTTAATGTACAATTTGCATTCTAAAGTCTTACACAGTAGAGAAGCTTTAAAACTGAAGTATTTAAAGCTTAACATTGGCACAATTAAATCATTTTAGAAATTAATTAAATTAATTAAATAATTTTAGAAATACCTTTGATAAAGGCAAGAAAAATATTCATTGTATCTATGTATGTATTTATGTATATAAATTTTAAATATCAAATTTAAATGTCAAAATTATTTTTTAAAAAATTAACTTATTTGTGGTACTACACTGAACCAATCTTTGCACTGAGCTACATCCCAACCTTTTTAAAATTTTGTTTTCATTTTTTAAAATATTTTTTGAGGCAAGGTCCTGCTAATTCCGGCTGGCCTTGAACTCACTATGTAGCCCAGGCTGGCCTTGAATTCACAGCAATCTTCTTGCCTCAGCCCCCCAAGTGCTAGGATGTATGCACTACCACACCAGACTAAATTTTATTTTAATCATTGAGACAGGGTAACACAAAGTTGCTAAATTGCCCAGGCAACTTACAATTTACAATCCTGCCTCAGCCTCCCAGAGTGCTGGGATTCCAAGTATGAGTCACCACATCAAGCTCAAAAAATAAACTTTTAAACTTAAGGGTATATGTTTTGGCATCTCAAAAACTAAGTGAAGTGAAAAACAAAAGATTCTGGTTTGTAGCACCAATATACATTAACTTCAATAAAATAATTAAGTATTTCTATAAATATTGAAAATCTCTAAAATTAATATCCTAAGCTCAGAAAAATGTTATCTATATACAAAGCAAAATAATACTATTTACATTAGAATAATTTAGTATAGAATTTATAAAAAGCACTAATATTTTGACTTATAAATTCTCTTTGGACATAAGTGGCATTTTAAATAGGTGATATTGATTTATTTATTTTCTCTCTCAAAAACCAGTATTTACAGAAATGTAAAGGAATTAATCTTGATAATAATTTCTTATCCTCATTATAGTCTCTCTCTCACTCTCACCTAAAAATATTTAAGTAGGTAGAAAAAAAGATTTACTCTAGATTTTGAAAAAAGCCCAAAGGTGACAATCATTAGCTGAAAACTGAAAATCACATATAATCCTAAGAAAACATTTTAGCCACAGTTGAATGAAAAAATTCCTTTTTTGTGTGTCCTCAAAAGACCTGAGTCATCCAATCTTTCCACTTGTTACCATGGTAGCTCAACAAGTACATATGTTTGGATGCACCTTTGCACATAAAAACCAGGAAGCATCACTTTAGATTACCTCACGCTGATGCCAGGGCACAGGCTTGGATTAGAGTACAGCTAAGAGTACCACCTTAAAGTTATTGTAAAGGTCAACCAGTACTGAACTAACTACAGGGTCAAATGACAAGGCCCATCCATAGGGAAAAATGAAAGTTCAAATGAACTTCTTATACCTTCTCCAAACCCTTGCTGGGCCCTATGTTAAGAATACAACTAAAGACTCATGCTATATGTCTAAATAGTTATAAATCAGAAAAGTAACTATCAAATACAATATGTTCTATGCTGCACTGTGAAATATACACTTTCATAATGTCCTAGAAAGCTGAGTTCAAATTTAGGATTCTTAATGTTATCACACAGTAAGATGGCAGAGGGAGAGCAGTACCTCTACTGCCTGCCTGCTTTTTTCTTTTCTCACCTTCACCTCTGTAGAACACTGCATGGGGAATTTCACAGAGGTGGACACAGCAGCCCATACCTACTGCCTTCCAAGGGAGGAACCCAGGGAAGGTACCCTTTTTGCCCAGGTCGAAGGGCCATAGTGCTTTCCTCTAATCAAATCTTGTATGCATGTTTTTCTGACAACTTTACTGCTACATGAAACTGTTCATCTTTTGACTTGGCATTTTTTATTCTAGCATTTGCTAGAAAATATTTGCTAGAAAGGATTAGTATGCATCACTATACTCCCAGGATATCCTTGTTACAGTGATTTACTGACTTTCCTTGTTAGAGAGTTGACATGGCACTCTTGCCACTTAACACTACTGAGATAATTTCAATGTTTTCCTACAAAAGGCTAACATAATTTCAAACGAGCATCCTAACTATAGGTTCCAAAACTTCTAAGAAAAATTTAAGAGTATTTTCATCTTCAATTTTACTGAGGAGCAAGATGGTGCAGATAGCTGGGAACCGCAGCATATGAGGAAAGAGTGGCATAAAGCAGATGATGCTGGATATTTTTCTTCATAGGAAGTCAGTTTTCTAGGGAGAAATTGGCATCTGGAGTTTTCATAGTGATTCTAGGTGGGGCTGAATTATCAGTTCATCAAACTTCAATCAATCAGAGAGCAAGGTTCTAATCCCCAGAAAAACCTCAAAAAGTGAGAAATCCTCTTAATGAGCTTTGTGTGGTGCCCAGGTGAAACCGTGACCTCGAAATGGTGTCGCAGTCATATGAATCTCCTTCTCCCTCTCCTCTTTCCCTTTCTCTCCCTCTCCCACTCAACCCCCTCTTTCTACAGTACTGAAGGCTGAATCCAAGGTCTTCATGCTGAGTTGCATCCCCAGCAATTCATTCATGCATTCATTTATTCATTTAAAAATTTTGAGACAGGGTCTGGCTAAGTTGCCCAGGTGAGGCTCAAACTTTTGATCCTCCTTTCTTAGTCTTCTAGAGTGCTGGGATTACAGGCATAAACCACCATACCATGCTCTTAATACACCTTTAAATCTTTTAATCACCCTATTTTTCCTACTAGAAATATAGGCTTATTGAAGCTGAGAAGCTCACTCAAGATTACAGGGCTGCTGAAGATGTAAGACAGAGTAAGAAGTTATTAAGGATTCAGCTCAACAATTCAAGATTCCTGGTAGGTACCTCTCTTCTTTAATATTCCCATTCTCATAGTTCTGATCAATTGTATTTTTTCACAACATTCTTTACTATTTTCAGTTATTTAAATATCTACTAATTTACAATCTACTTTTCTCCTTTATTCCTATAAGAACTTCCTGAGTATATGCAGGACTTCCAATTAATGAGATTACACTTAAAAATGCAATCTACAGAAAAGATATAACTCAAAATACACTAAATAAAGTACTTAAAATCATAAATACCTAGACAAATCCACACAGAAAAAAAAAACCCACATCCTGCAACTATGCAGTAGAAAAGACATCCAAAAAGACATCCCATTTAGATTTTGTCAGGCTGCAGTCAGGATAAGTTGGCTGACTTTGCCTTGCTGTTTCTAAGACAGTGACTTAGATAAGCAGTGAATATGATTACAAGAAAGATGTTCAGAACACCTGAGAAGAAACTATTTTTGATAACGTTAAAAATGTTTATGAACATTTTAAATACTGACAAAAATAAGTCAAATTCATGAAGTCATTAGGACACCTTTAAGCAACAGTTTCAAGTACTGTATACTTTTAAAAGTATTAAATAATGGCATGTATTTTGGGTTTTTATTTTGTTTAATTTTGAGACTGTCTCTGTAAGTTGCCCAGGCTGTCTAAGAACCTGCAATTTTGCCTCAGTCTCTTGAGTAGATAGGATCCACATTGCCAGGGTGTATTTTGTTTCTAACTATTCAGCCTTTTCATTAATAGCCTTTCACTTAATCTCCAGTAGTATAGTTTTATTATCTTCAACTCTCCTTTAAAGGAATATATTCACAACACATCTTCAAACAGTAAAGACGTAAGACACAATAAAGCAGAATGCTCAAAGACTGAGGATGATTTTTAAATTAGTATTATTCAGTTGACAAAAAAAGCACGGATCCCTTTTTATCTAAGATTGTTAAAAATATTCCTAAAGTGTATTAAGATGTTTTACTACTCCAAGTGGACAGATATAAACAGAATCATTCTTTCCAACTAATGATTTTGGAGAGTTAAACATCAAGCTTAAATTAAAAGGAACCTCTTTCTCAAAGACTATATTCAACAGAGCCTTTAAGATAACAAAACCATTTGGCAAGATTGTCACAAATTTGAACACTTATATGCTTAATACCTTACCTCTCATGTTCTAGAACTAATAATTCAAGCAATTTTGTAAACTAAAGTGCTTGAATCACTTGAATTCAAAGTTTCTAAACTTTTCTTTCATCTTTTAATATAATAAAGAATTTCTTATTCAGTTATTGCTCCATCTACTTTGTGTTTCTTCAGATTTCATATTCAGGCCATTACAATAAAAATGAATATAAGACAGTAGATATCAAAGCATCTTACAGTTACCATCTAAGCAACAACTTTATGCCACCTGGGCAGAATAGGCAATTTGAGGAGAAAACAAAGCACAGTGAAACTTTTATCTGCTATCCACAATATTTCTTCATTTGTAATAATTATGAATGCTTATTGAAGGTAGCAAAGAAATATGGCAGCACAGGCAAGAGCTGGGAGAGGTGAAAGCTATTCTTCTTATACCTGTAAGGTCTGTACAATATGAAGACAAGCAGGATCACATGCCCTCCAGAAAATCTGAGTCAAGCACTAATTACAGTGTGCAAAGAAACACTGTGACAAGTATAAGCAGGAGTCCATCATGTGTGTGTGTGGTGTCAGTAGCTAAGAAGCCCTGATGAAAGTACAGGTCAAAAAATAGGAAACTGTCATTTTATTAGGTAAAAAATTGAAATATAAGCAATGTTGTACAGTTCAACTTGAATGTAAAAGAATGATATGAGGTGTGACTGACATAAATGATGAATGCTTAAGTTTTCAATCACATCTCATAGACTGCATGTATTAACCTAAAGGCTCATAAATGGTTATTGACTTATCAAAATTATGACACAATTAAAAAAACTTGTCTCCCAAGACTACTTTATTATTTATTGAGTTGTTTGTTGACAAATCTTTAAAACAACCCTTGCTTGGTGATTAAAAGCTCCATTTTAAAGGCAAAAGCAATTAAATAAAAGGTTGAGTATAAAAACAGCAACCCAATTTCCATTGGTTAGTGGTTTCTGATCCTTAATGGGTTTGTGAGCCCCCACCCTGGCGCCCCCACTACCACATAGAGTCACTCACAATCCTCACCTCTAGGGAGGAAAGAAATAATTGGAAGCATTATAAATAGTAGTCTGCTTCCATTCATGCAACTAAAGTATTACCTCTACATTTGAATTAAGGGTAAAAAAATGAAATAGTAGTTTCTATTTTCTGATTGATGCTCTTTTTTATAGTTGAATCTTTCACAGAATTCTAGATTTGTCATAAGACACGGTATTACTGTAAACGTTTTCAATTCACATGCTTATTTTCAAATTAAAATTCAGCTAAGAAACATTAATAAGATGAAGTCAGTACACTAATCTTTAAAAGTCAATAATTTTAGTAGTATATATATTGAGAACCCAGGAACCACATTATGGGCTGTAAATCTTCAAGGCTACTAGCAAAAAGTGAATTGAATACTTATTTTGATGATGTAAGTATCAGCTTTGCTACTAAATAAAATAACTAAAGTTTTTCTCATAAGTTAAAGACAAGAAAAAAGAAGAAATTATCCTTACAATTCAGTCAAATAAAAATAGCACTTAAACTGAGTCCTTTTCCAAAGCAGAAGACCTACCTCACTGAAAAATATACCTATGGCTCCAATTTCACATAAGAAAGCTAAAGCTTTTTCACTTGATTTTTCTCTTTCTTTTCTTTTTCTAAGGTCCAGATGTCTTTCTCTTTTTTCTTTCTCATGGTGGTTTAGAAGTAAGAGAAATTTATAGCAAGAGGGGGAAAAAAAAGTTCATGGAAACCTTCAGGAAATTACAGAGTCAAATACTTGAGCAATGGTCATTCTATTTCCAAATGGAGATCCACTTGGATTTTTGAGCTTGGCTTTTACCTAGTTTGCTAGGACTTTTTAATCATTAGATAAGTTAAATTAATTTCAGGGCAATAAATTTTGTTCTGTTAGTATCTCTCTTCATTTCCATTATCCTTTTCTTATTCTCTTCTGATTTGCTAGGTCACACCATGGCTTTCACCATCTTCTCTTCTTACCTAATACCACACAATTCATACCTCCTGTTTTGGTAAAATTAATCTACTTTAATTACCCACTATAATGCTTACATTTTTCTACCTCTATAACCACCACAATGTCAAGCACAGTATGTCCCAGTAACTATACGTAGCTCTACCTGGAAAGTTCTTCAGTTTTGTTTTTGTAGTTTTAGAAAGCCATAGACCCCATTTTCATAATACTTGAAATTTTTCTCCTTCAGGTAGTCATTCAAGATCAAATTCGTCCATGTCTGTTCACTTAAGCCTACCTCAAAAAGGGACTATATAACTCATCCTTACTGGCTTGTTTCTTTATGAAAAGTATTCTTCAATCTCATGTTTGTGTATGATCTTTTTTCCCCTGAGGAAATAATTTCTTACACTCTTTTTGTTTCATACCACAGTACGTAAAATAGCATTCAACACATAATGTATGCTCAAAATAAGTTTGACTTATACAAACATCTACAAATTATACACAAAGATTTTTATCATTGTGAAATAAGAAATATATACTAGTTTCTGCCTCTAGCTATGGACAAGGAACTCCTAAAACCCTGGTAGATAAAGGTGCTAAGAAAATCTTTTGTTCAAATATTTGGTCTTTGAACCCAATTCCTGATACAGAGTTCTTAAAACTTTTGTAATTTCCTATGTATAAGGTACGTATGACACAGAACTCCTAAATTCTCTGAATCTTCTGGTTGATAGGGTTATCTTCTGTTCTAATGAGGCAACTGCTGGTAGGCTAGAAGTATAGACAGCCAAAAGTGAACCCTTTAGTTTTTAACACAAAATCCGTTTAAGATTCAGAAACTGGCAGGACTGGGTACATCTGATGTCAGAGTCAAGTTTGAACTAAAACCACTTTCTGAGTGAAAGTTCATTTAAGAAGCTTGCCTATTCCCCCACACCCTGGAGTCCTCCCCTGCTTAGCAAAGCCATGAGACTGACCTGCTCTCATCCTCACAGAATAGTAGAACTTTACTCTCTAGGGAAGGTAAAACACAGGGTCTCTGGATTGGATATATGTTACAGACTGATTCACAAGATGAAGTCGTAATACCTACTACCTCACAATGTGTCTGTACTTGAAGTGTCTTTTGAAAGGTAATTAAGAAATGAAATCACTAGGGTGGCCCTAACCTAATATTACTGGTGTCTTTAAAAGAGAGGAAATGAGGACACAGAGGAAAATCATGTGAAAATATAGAAAGAGGGCCATCTACAAAAGCCAAAGAGAGAGGCCTCAGAAGAGACTGACCCTGCCAACACCTTGATGTTAGACTTCCAGGCTCTAGTACCACAAAGAAAATAAATTTATATTGTAAGCCATTCAGTCTGAAGTAATTTGTTATGATTCTCTAGCAAACTAATGTATTTTAATTGTAAAAAAGGAAATTATGTATACCTCAACCTTTTTTCCCCACACAGCTTCCAAAAGGCTGGATGCAAGGAAAGAGATTGCAAGCTTGACAAAGTACTGGAATCACATATTTCCCAAAGATACGATCCAACTACATAGTAGTTGTTTCTGCCAAAGCCATCTCCACACATACAATTTCCAATCAGCTGAACACATAATTGAGAACTAGCAAACACTCAAAGAAAGCACCTAACATGAAAGACACCAAAACTAATACAACAAACAAAACTGGGGCCCATGGAGATCATATAGGAGAAGAAAACTCTAAAACACTATCAGTAATTCTTAATGAAATAAGAGAAGCTCATAAGAACGAGACAGTAGAACAATGGAACAGAAATTAAGAGTTCTTAGAAATTAAAAATATTAATAGTAATGAGTAAATTGGACAGCTAAAAGGTACAGCTGAAGAAATGTAGAAAAAGGTAGGGAAAAAAGACAAAATTAAAAAGTAAATAATTACATGACTGGCTATGGACATTCAGTTCAAAAATATGTCTGGAAAGCAAAAACAGAACTTGGAAGGAAGAAAAATCAATGATTTTTTTCAGAACTAAAGGCCCTAAATTTCTATAATGAAACATTGGGACAAAGGATGAGGACACAGCAACAAGGATTAAAAACAAATCCATATTATTATGGCCATATTATTATTTCATTGAGAAATTTCAAAACATCTGAAACAAGGAACAAATCCTCGTGAAATTGTATCAAATTTTGCAAAACTCTATCAAATAGACCACTTACACTATATATACCATGCTTCAATTGTGATTTAAAGCTTTTAAAAAAGGAGGCCCAGGGATTTAGCTCAGTGGTTCTGGTGCCTGCCTTGCAAGTGCAAAGTCCCGAGTTCAATCCCTGGTACGATCCCCCCCCAAAAAAGCTTAAAAAAGGAAATTAATATTATTACCCTTTAGGAGTAAACTGAAAACTGGCTTGCTTGTGCAGAAAAATATTAAACATATTTTTAAAAGAAAAAAAATCAGATGTGCACACAAGGAAAAAATTTGTCTATCTTGTTTTCATAAAAGGTCCTGTAGGAGTGGTAAATGGTTGAACAACAGTCTAAGCACAAGTGGGCTTCTTCTTTCAAAGTATTATTACCTGATGACTTGTTATACCTAAACATAGACAATAGAATCTGAAATTTACCTTTTTTTTTTTTGTTTTGAGACAGGGTCTTGCTATGTAGTTCAGGCTGGCCTTGAACTCACTATGTAGCTCAGTCTAGCCTCAAACTTATGGCGACCCTCCTGCCTCAGCATCCCAAGTGCTGGGATTATAGGTGTGAGCCACCATGACCAGCTGAAATCTAATCTTTTGGAAACAAACAAATAAGCAAAAAAAAAAGATAACAGATACAGTATCTCTTTCAAACTTCCTAGAGGGAAATACAAGAAGCTTTCAAGCTCATCCCAAAGAAACCTTCCAAACTGATAGAATTCTGCCGCTAATACAACAATTTTACAAATATACATATAACACAAAAAGTAACAGCACAGCATACCTGTATCTTTCTTTAGAATAAGTAAATTATGCTTCTCCAGGGGATGTCCAAGGCATTTCCAAGAAATATTTTCCTTTTTTTTAAGGACAATCTCTATTTTTCCCACATTCTCAACAACTCTCACTGAAAGGAAGATAAATTACAGTTGTGTACTTGATATTACTTATAAAATTTTATTTTAAGACCAATTTTTCTCAGTCAAATAATCCTGATCTTTTATAATGACACTGATTACTAGCAGGAAAAATAAAAACTTGCCCATATATTTATTAAAATGATTGATGCCATATATGATGTTAAACCCAACTTAATTTGTTTAGATTCAGAACTCCTTCCAAAATAATTTAGATCAAGGGCAAAACTAATACTGTATGTTTTGCTAGTTCTCACACAATCTCAAATACAGCTCTAACAACTAATCAACATACAACCAAAAATGTGGGGGTGGGAGCCAGGCATATACAAATTACCACTGAATAAACCAACAAAAGCAAATTTAATTTTCTCCCCTTTTAATATTTCTTAGTTGGAATCTGAGGGGTTCTTAAAGAGTAATTTCAGTGGAAAAATACTGATCCTAAGAATACAAGATTAGCTTCAGGTTCGTCATAAGTCTCCAGAGAATATGGAATTAAGGAATAAAGCACCTGTGAATGTTTGATAGTTAATTAAAAACCTTTTAGATTATCTTTTTCCTTTTTGAATGACTAAAACAGTTCAGACTATGTGGGCATATTAAAAAATATATTGATTTATTTAAATTGATTTAAATTTTGTGAATTGAACATTAAGGATACAAAACAGATTTCATTTTTTAGAAACACGATATCTGTTCCTCCACAGAATCCAAAAACAATTTAACAACTTTAAAAATACATTAGTCAAATGAATTCAATTCTTTGATCACTGTTCTGAAGCATAACCAAAATAAAAACATGATCCTTGATTTTACAGAGTTTACTACATTATATAGAAAAGGAGAGATATTGAACCAGTGTAACTTATTGTGAGGATACTAGAAATAATAAACTCCTGTTCTATGAAGAGTCTTCTATTTTTTTTTGTTGTTACCAGGTATCGAACTCAGGACCTTGTGCTTGCGAGGCAGGCACCAGAACCACTGACCTAAATTCCTGGCCGAGGCTTCGATTGTTAAAGAGCTGTGTAAAATCCACACTGCAAAGATATATGCAGCAACTGTCATAGTTTCAGTATGCTCTGTTAACATTAACCATTTAAATAAACACACCTAGGAAAAAACTGTGTGGTGTAGTGTATATCTAAAGGCTGCATATGATGAGGAGGGCTTAAGTGAAGGAGGAAGGAAAAATGGAAAAGATACAGGAATCTTTAGTTTCATTTTTGTAAGAAGAGAAAAAGGAAAATAAAGGGCTGAAAAGAACGAAAAGAAAGAAAAAAAGGGGAAAAAGCAGAAACCAGGAGTATATTTTGAAATTAATGTATTTGTTTATATAGAAAATATCCCACTTTTTTTTGTAACATGAAAACATACATATGAAAAATAAGACAAATGCTGAGTTCTTTCTGCCTGTGTGCGTGTGTGTGTATGCGCATGTATTTGAGTGTACCCACATATATGAAGTTTTGGAAGCTTACCAGAAAAATCTTCCTCAACCTCGTGGCTTAGCCCTGAAATAGAAAAAAAAGTATTTTGTTAAAAATTTAAAATTAGTCCATACAGTTTATGAATACCATATAAGATCATTTTTATGCACTATTTCAAATCCTTCAAGTCAACAGAAACATTCTGAGAGACTAAAAGAAATTATATATAAATGAAATTGAGTCAGATTATTTAAATATGTATTTTTCTATTTTTCTATTTATCTGCTTATCAACTGAAGAGTAAATACTGAACTACCCATAGGCCAATAACTCATACCAGTCCAGCCATGGTCCCATACTGACAGTGTTACAAAGCAAGAACTGAGTAGGCCAGAGTGGAAGGCAGCAGCACCTGAAACATGCACACCCAGTGCGTTTTCATATGAACATAGATCAGGCCTAAGTCTAGACTATTTCTTTTCTTATTGTTCTCTTAAGCTAAATGCCCAGTTATTTAAAAAATTTTGTCTTGAGAATCTAGACAATAATACCAGTTACTTTCCAGGTATTATAAATACAAAGATTAATAAGAGAATAATATGACTCTGTCTTTATGGAACTTACATTCTAGAAATGGGAGATGTAAGAAATATTTTTACAAATATTTGCTCTGGCCAGGGGTGGTGGAGCATGCCTGCAATCCCAGCACTTAGGAGGCTGAGGCAAGAGGATCATGGCAAGTCTGAGGCCAGCCTGTGTTCCATAGTGAATTCAAGGTCAGCTTACACAGTGAGACCTTGTTTCAAAAAGAAAAAAGGTTTGAGGTTGGTGAAACTGACAAATGGGGATGGAGGGAGGTGGGAATCAGCTCTGACCAAATTCAGAACTAAAGACACTTCATTAATGTTGCAAAGTGGTAAGCAGAAACCTAAGTCAACTGGGGTATGGAGAATTTCAGCCTATGTTTTGCAAATTAACCAAAATTTCCTTTACGTAAAAATGCATGCTTAAAGCACCGTGACTTTTTTGTTTGTGTTTTTGAGTGTGTGCTATTTCTATCTTACTAAAAAATTCATCATCATATCATAAAAGGAAAAAACAGTGAAAACCTTAAGTGCAGTTCATTACAGGTGAGAAGTGGATTAAAATGTCCTATCTTGGACTCTAGATTTTAGCTCTGATTGCTTTCTTCTGATAGATCTGTAATTTTTCAAAATTGACAGAAGTGAATAATATGGGTGGCTCAGATCATAAGGAGACAAGAGGCTGAGGGAAACAGTACAAACATGAAGCCCAGGCTGTTTTGTCGCAGCCTCAGACTTCCTATGGCAAAGCTGGCAAGATACAGGCCAGTGGAATGGGTCACCTAGTGATGACTACTCAGGAGGAGCATGTGACCACCATGCCACCAAAGACTTGCTAAGTGTCAAGTACTGGAAAGTTATGAAAACTGGTCCAACTAATTTATTATTGATTCCAACTGCATCTAATTGCTTTAACATGAAAAGGTAAGATCACACTGTCATTTGCTAGCACTTGTACTAGTATAAAGAAATTAATATAAAAAATTGATCAAAAATGACAAATCAAAATAAAAACAGTAGATAAAATATTATAGCTACATAGACTATAGAAAAAGTGATTGCCATAATCATAGACAATAGGAGCTCAATAAGGTACTCACCAATATGGATAAAATACGAATAATCCTTGATAAGTGTTTCTGCTCTAAAGGAGTCATCTTGATGATCAACTATTACTGAATCTAAACCCATTTCCTTAAACAGAAAGCAAAGCAAAGTTAGAAAAATTAAAAGTAAGTTTTCCCCTAAACTTCCACAACTCCTCCTTTAAGGTGAAGTGTAAGCTCAAATGGTACTATTTTATAGAACCCTGAATTTGAATAGATGTTAATCCTGTTTTGATTTTTTTCTGTCATACAAATTAGTTCTTCTTCAAAATACTTACCACAATTTTAATTATATATATATATATATATATATCTGTTTAATATCACCTTATCCAGTAGCCTAAGTTATAAGTTAAGGGAATACCTTTAAAGCATTGTTTGGCATCTAGGAGATACTCAATAAATATTTGGAGAGTAAGCAATATGGCAAAAAAGTAGAATCAGACCAAAACCCAAGATTTTTGTGTTTAATTATTTTAATTATTCCTCTATTATGTGATGCTGGGGAAACTGAATAACCGTTCAATCTCAGCTTACAAAAAATTAATTCACTAACAAATTTTAGATGTTTCTAATTTCTACATTGTCTTGATGCAAGACATTTCAGTACCTATTATTTACAAAATATATTAAATACATTATTCTCTATGGAAACCTTTCCTCTTCCCTTAGCCAGATACCTATGCATCCCCCCATATTATCAGTGAGAACGGACTCCAACCTCCTGGACCCTGCCATCTTCCTTATGGATGTTTGATGAGGAGACAATAATGAGGAGTAGGAGGTGGGCCAAGTACTTTCTCTGGCTCTCTTGGTTATTTCAGGCAAAGGCTGGTCACTTCTACAGAATGGTCAAATCATGCTGCAAGTCATAGGAACTCATGGGCTCAGATGTGGTTCTGCTACCACAGAAGCAGGATACTCTAAATTCCTAGCTGTCAAAACTTGTCTTTTAATCTACATGTAGGAACCTCAATAGTCACTGGAAAATGTGTTTGAAGATTTTAAGTTATCTGCTTATTTATCCAATTCTCCAGCTCAACTGTGATCTCTGTGAAAGCCAGTTCTCCATATATCTGGTCCATTACTAGATCCTGACAGTACCTTATATAAAAGAGGTATTACGATAAAGACTTACTTTAGTTTAAAAAGGGCATCTGAACACCATTAGTGGTTTAAAAATGCTAAGGCACAGTGGTGCAGTCTTTCTTATCCACGTTTATGTTCCAGAAAATTTATTCTTATGAACTTAACTATGATTCACTTTTGTCATCCATGTTTTTTAAAAAAATCACAGAGAAGCATATAAAATACTTTCTAGTCTAGTTTAAGAGTCCATAGCATGGTTGATAGGAACATATGAGGCAGGAGCCAGACTGCCCTGGTTCCAACACTAGATCAGCTATCTAGTGTGTAATTTTGGGTAAATTATTTAATCTTCCTGCTTAATGTGTAAAAGAGTGAGAACACTATCTACCTCACAGAGTTGTAAGGAATAAATAATGTAAGAAAAGTGCTTAGAAAAGGACTTGGCACATGAATAACATTTTATTAACATTTATTAAGTGTTTACTTTTTTCCTGATTTTTAATGATATATTTACCTTTTGTTTAGTATATATGACAATGGTGACTAAAAAGTCTGTTTGGAACCAGTCATAGCTGCAAAATATTAAGAGAACAAATAATTATATTGATGATGGTGTCCATTAACACATAACATCATTACATGTTTAAAATTTACAGTGAGAAATACATTTCTCTAAGCTTAAACTTTTTCTAAATAAACAATTACCATAGCATTTTACATGCTTTATTAAATAGCTGAAATTATTTCTAAATATACTTCCAAGTTTTTGAGTAAAAACAATATAGTTAAGACACTTTCTTTTTTTTTTTTTTTTGGTACCAGGGATCGAACTTGGGAACTTGAACTTGCGAGGCAGGCGCTGGAACCACTGAGCTAAATCCCTGGCCCTAAGACACTTTCTTGTGAAAAGTTAAACATCTTCCTACTAAAACCTTCTTTTATTAGAGCAATAACAATATATTATGTTTTGCGAAGAACAGAATAATCTATACTGGTGGAGAAAGGCAGTAAGAGAAAGAACTATAAAGAAAACGTACAACTCTGAAGGTATTTATCATTAGCAAAAATATATATGCATTATTAAATTTGGTGTTAACTACTTAAGATAATTGGTGTCCAATACACTTTGAAAGAGTTTCATTAAAATTTATATAAATGAACCAGATATACAAAAATTGAATAAAGTTAAATGAAATTTATACACTGGTCATATGATGAAATGCAAAAAAATGCTTTCACAGAATATGTAGTAAAACAAAAATTCCTCAAAGAAGAGTATAGTATAATATCAATATTATAAAAATAGTATAATGTAGACACATTGTATGACAAACTAGATGGAATAAGTCAAATATTAAGAGTATATATCTAAGGTTAGTGAGCCACATGCATTTATCACATGCTTTTGTATTTCTTTGTATTTTCTAAGTTTTCTATGATGAATGTTTATTTAAACAGAAAAAAATTTCAAATAAATTTTTAAAATGCTGTAAAATGGATCAAACTTCAGTTACATTTTCAATTCACATTTTTAGAACAGCTCATTCACCAACATCTGATAAATAAAGCACTGTATAATGCAGTTGATGTGTTAAAAAAGAATGATTAATAATAATCAAACCTAGAGATCCTTTCTTCTTTAAATGCGTGTAATTTTTGTGTAGAACTGATTTAGCTTTAAAAAAGTAAAACAAGAATATATACCTTGGAGAATTAGGACCTTCTTTGGCAAGTGTACCTGCTACTTGGGTCTTGGGAAGCATACCTTCACAGAGAAAACAACAAAATACCAACAATTCAACTACAAAGCACTTAAAAACGTTTTTATCTTTTCAGTTAACTTCTTGAGCTATTATATACATATGTAAAAGTACATAATTATAAATGTAGTTCACAATGAATTTTCATAAATTCAAACACACTCACTCATGTAACCAATACCCTCTGTGTCCCTCCAGTAGTGCCCCTCTCCAAAGAGTATCCACTATTGTGACTTTCAACACCATGATTAGTTTTTGCCTACATATAACCTTCATATGAAATAAATAAAATGTGTCCCTTTTGATCTGGCCTTTTTGGCCAACATTATAGATATTACAAGCTTTTGGCAAATAAGCATTGTTGATAGTAAGCAATAAACCAAACCAAGAACTTTCTGAGATTTTATCAATGCTTTTGAATGGATCACGAGTTTGTTGCTTTTTATTACTGAATAGCATTAAATCATATAAGTACATACTTTATTCATTATATTGATGGGCATCTGGACTCTTCCAGTTTCAGGCTATTATGCATAATGCTATTATAAATATTCTTGTATATGCACGTGTACATTCCTATATGTACATTTCTGGTGGGTATATAGGGTGTTAGCTTTAGTACATACTCTTCAAAGTGGTAGTACTAATTTATACTTTTGAGTTCCAGTTGCTCTATTACCTCACCAACATGTGGTGTTTCTCTGTACATTTTACTCATTCTTGTGGGTCTGCATCAACATAGCATTTTAAGAGTACACTGAAACTGATTTTAAAATCATTTCAGAAAGCTCAGAGACATGGATGAACTCTGAAACATCAATGTCTGAAATATTAATTTCCTCCCATCACAGAAGTGCATTGTTTTTAAATGCAAGATTCAGTTTGGAAAAAAACTATTGCTACTAAATAACTTTTGTAAGTCAATACATTAATTATATTATTTCCCAAACTGCAGAAAAAAATTAATGGTTAGTATAGTGGGTGTTAAGAGTTCTCAAATTAGGCCAGTGATTTAGCTCAGTGATTCTGCCACCTGCCACGCAAGGGCAAGGATCCGAGTTCATCCCCGGTACCAAAAATAAATAAATAAATAAGTAGATAAATAAATAAATAAATAAATATTTTTTAAAAAGAGTTCTCAAAGTAATTATATAAAGTTAGAGTTGGGAGACACCATAGAGACAAGCTAGGTTAGCGGTTCTCCAGTCTTTAGCCACAGAAGCCTTTGCTTACACACAAGCTTAGATGCAGTCACAGGTGTATTTTTCAAAATGAGGCTGAGGGTGAGGTTTGAGCCTAGGCCTTATCCATTCCCAGTAACTGTAGAGCACACTAAATTTTCAGACAAACAAAGGACGCCTCAGAGATGTCACAACAGGACAAAAGGCGTGAATTAACTAGGTGTGGACCCTAAAAGAACAATGTTTACTACAAACTATAGGTATAAGAAACCAAAGACTAAAAGAATTCTTTCTCCAAAAATGGTAATAGCAAGAAAGATGGCTACTGAATTATTTGAGAAATACTGAAAAATATTTTATTAAGAGAATAACGTCATTTCTCTTTTGGACATGTGCAAAGTATATAAATAACACATGCATCACAGTCTAAAAATTTCTGTGAGAAAAAGTCATCAACTGAATTCATAAATTTTAAGTCAATTTTGATCTTGTATGACTTGATTAGGACTAAAATATCTGGATTTAAGCTCAAGTGTTCACACTATGAACTTATGTAAAGCACTATTTCCTCTTCAAACCTTATGAAATCACAAATGAGATAACTTCCAGATATCTTTTATTAAAAAACTATACTGTACCATAAAATATAACTTATTAGAACAAAATAATGTCATATGCCATAGAATGTGTCTTAATTTCATCATTTATAGAAAGAAAACCAAAGAAACAAACCTTATATAATATTCTTCTGGATAAGATAAAAGAATATGGGGTAAATATGAGATGGAGAAAAACAAGTAAAGTGGACTGAATGAATGTTCTTCTTCCAAAAGTACAGACTAACCAACTGATACCAATTTGAAAGGATCAGGTTTCTAATGGAATACAAAAGTAGTCTATCCCACTCAGTATTTAAAGCAGCTTTTGGAATAATGAAAGAAGCCAGACAGATCACATTTGAAAACAGACTTAGCACATAGACATAAATGACTCAAATGTAAGCTGCTGCAAACAATACATAATATTCCAATCTTTTAGGGCCCAAGTTCCAGAAAGTGCTAGCCAGATCAATGTGGTGTGCTAAAATCCATTTTTAACTCCACCTCTGACTGTGACATTAGTTAAATACAACGCATTCAAAGGAAGATGAACAGAAGAGTAAAGCCACATGTGGTGGGAAAGAAGGTTCATTAATAATAAGCAATGATTGTTTTCATAGTATCACAAAAGAATCAATCACCAGGTGAAACCTGAGCTCAGTCTTTTGGTTAACACAGTGTTAATCAGATAACAGCTTCAGGTATCATAAATTACAACACAAACCATTTCTTTAATCAAAAAAGACACTAACTCATCTGGTAATCTGTGAACTGCACTTCTATAGCTTTCTTTTACAAATGGGAAAAAATGTATTTCTAAATGGACAATAATATAGTTCAGTCAGAGAAGCTGCAAGCATTTCATGAGTCAGTAATGATCAGCACTTCAAATTCTGGGAGAAGGGGAACAATGTCAGTCACAATACCAAGTCACACTGAATGGCTGGGGAAGCCAGGGCTGCTCAGCTCAGAAGAGTACATTAACACGCTATTCAGCATTTACGTACCAACACTGGAGGTGAGCTCACATGCCTGAGAGAGATGACCTGTTCAGTCTTGTTTTAATCATTAGAATTATTCAAGCTTTGGGCAGATGAACATGTGCTTAGCAATGCCACAGAAGGAATTATTTTAAGAGTAATGGATGATCCAAGGGGCCCATAAAGTTCTGTCATTCTCTATGCTTGGGTAAATAAAGATATATCTTTTGTACTGAAAAAATCTAAATACCCCAGATAATTCTGTAAAGAAATTTTTATTAAAAATTAATATGACTTAAAAAGATTAATGTGACTTACCATTTAAGACTCTCTTTTCCTCATGATAGTCTGTATAGTGATTTGGGGGAAAAAATCAGTTAAGAATACTATAATGTCAAAGAGAATATCAGCACATTTTACTGGTTTAACCATATTAGCCCTTTTTTGAAGGGCTTCTAATGTCTGAAGATACAACCGATGGCCTTTGATTCAAATAAGGAAGGTTCACCTCTGAAAATTCCCATGCTATTTCTCTAGATGTTTGTCTCTTATTTCAGTGGGATTTTTCTACTTCTTCAGTCTACTTCTTTGGTATTTTTTTCTAATGTTTTGGTTACTCTCTCCCACTCTCACCCCAGTATTGAGAATTAAACACAGGGTCTCAGGAATGCTATATAAGAGCTTACCATTGAGCTACAGACCCCCAGTTATTTTCTTTGAGAACATATAAACCCTAAGTTTTGTCCAGGATATCATATTCTAAATTAATCTAAACAGAATTTATTAGACTATACTCTCTATAAAACAGAACACACATGTCAATAACCCAACTAAAGACTTTATTATCTTCCTTTTTATTGATAACAGTACTTAAAAATAAATATTGTTACTACAAGTTTAAGATGGCTAAAATGATGAAAATATGTTAATAGGCTCATATGCAAGTATCAGTTAAGGCCCAGAAAAAAAATTTTTTTTCTTTCAGGATGGCAGCAAATTCACAAAGTTATGCTATATTTAAAAATCACAAATATTATACCACTATGGTCAAGATAAGCCCTTAGCAACTTGTTAGAATTTTTAAAAACCTTAAAAAGGATAATAAGTTAACATAAAGTATCTAAGTAGTTAAATTGAAAGACATTAATTGTTAACATTAATCACCATGTTTTATAGAAAAAGAAAGTAACATACTCAAAGCTTTTAAATGTTTTGTATTCTATTTTCTAATCACTAGAAATTTCATAATTACCTCTACTTCACTCATCTGTCACAAAATAATCACAAGGAGCCCAGATGACCATTCTTTTTCATTTTCCCCATTATACCAAAATTTAATAATTAAAAGGGATCTTAACACAGAGCAAATTATCATCCAATCCTCTAACTTAAGAATAAAAATTACAAGATCTCATCATGTAATGTAGAGACAGCAGTATTTCCCCTGAAGGTGCACCCTGGGAAGCATTGGTACTTGGAAATGGGGGGATGAAGAAAGACCCGAATATGGGAAGGCAATTTGAAGAAGCCTCCCAGATGAATTCCAGGATCAAGGATATTTAGAATAAGAAGCAGGGCCAACCCTTGATATATGGAATTTACACCAGGTCTAGAAAACAAGCCATCTTGGAAAAATATCTAACTGAGGGGCAAAGCCTAGTATAGCAGCAGCAACCAGGCTGCTGCAACTTGAACCTAGCCCAGCAGCCACTGTCCAGTGCTCTTCTGTCCTAACTCCCTCCTCACTGGGTCAGGGAGCCTGGCAAAGGAGATATTCGCAGATCAGGGCACTAGAGAAACTGAGAGCCAGGAAATCTGGACCCTCAAGCCTCTCCATTCACTGGCAAGCAAGAGAAGAAATCCTAAGAGGGGAACAGCTCAAGCACAAACAAACACACTTAACTTCCATGACTTAATCCCTAGACTTCAGGCCCTCCAAACTGCTGTAAGTCAAAGTTTCTCCATTTGTGAACACAGTGGGTATAGGACACTGGTCAAATTCTGACTGTAGTATGGGGAGGATTGAAAGGATTCTTTGTATATGTGTGGTTCTGTCTCTCCCTCTCTCTTCCTCCCTCCCTCCCTTTCTCTCTCCCTTCTTCCTCCCTCCCTCCCTTCCTCTCATCCCTCCCTCTTTTATTTTTTTTACCCGTATAGGTGTTTGCATATGTGAAAAGGGGAATAACAATTAGTGTTTTAGTTTAAATAGTAACTTCATTGGCAGGTCAGGTTACTTCTCACAAAAAATTGTGTACAGAGGATTCAAACACAAGCTTTCTATAGCACATTAATTGGTTCAGACCTTCTCACAACTTCCCTTCATCTCCAATTATACTTGACTCCCTCTTCTTTTTCTTCCCCCTGCAAGTAACCTCTCAAACTCCCTCTCCACCAGTCCTGCACTCCAGATATAAAAATATCAACAAAGTCCTATCTCTTTTATTTCTTTCATTTATTATTCTTTTTTCTACTCTCCTACTTTCTGAACTATTCTCTTCCTTTCCTTCATCCTCTATATTCCACCGTACTTGTCATTAATACTGTATACCACAGACTCTTTGGGTTATTGAAAAAGTGGTGTGATTGTTAAATTTTAAATTACTTGATTGATATATGGTTCATTCTGTAGATGCTGAAATAGCCTACAGTGATTCTCTCTTTACCACACAGCAACTGTGACTGATTTGATTACATTGAGTAGGTTAACAAGGTATATAAACACCAAAACATAACCAAAGACAAGGTCACACAACAGGAAAATATATACTAACAAAAGAGATTGCCACAGTAGTGACAGAATTTTCCTACTCTAATAGATCCTCAAGCCTCAGCACAAAAACAACAGAAATATGAGAAAATAAAAGCTGTTCTCACAGAAACCAAAGTGGAGGAAGTCACAGGCAAAGAACTGTTAAAAAGCCAAATGGTTAAATATTTGAAGAGATCAAAGAAGAAACAAATAAATCTATAAGATGTTCAGTCACCTTAAAGATGTAAAGAGATAAAGGATTTAATTAATAAAATATGATCTTAAAGAAGATACAAAGGCTGACTGAATTACACAAGATATGAATGACTATTTTAGTAAAGAATCAGAGATTATGAAAAGAAATTAAGCAGAAACCCAGGATATAAAAAGCAGGATATAAAGAAGTAGAAATGGCTAAAGTGAGCAGAAAGTATAAGAACTAGAAGATAAGGTTGATATAACAGATCATGTACTTAGTAATACCATAAAAATAACAAAATACCATGGAAACTTGAGCTAACAGTTGCAATATCACTCAAAAAACCAAGCTAGGAATTGTACAAATTAAGGAAAGCTTAGAAGATAACACAAAAGGTATAATATCATAGCAAAAGATTTCTAACTCTAAGGAAAGGATTCAACTTCCAAATAAGTGAGACATATAAACCACAAATAGTCATTATCAAATAGTTAAAATCTCAGAAAGAAAAGATAACAGCCTATATTACAGAAAAATACCAAGTAGCTTATAAAAACAAGCCTATTAACTTTACAGTTGATTTCTCAGAACAAAATTTAAAGGCCAGGAGAGCTTAGAAGTTGTCAACCCCTTAAAAACAAACAGACAGACAAACAACTGCCAACCTATATTAATATTTCATGAAAAATTACCTTTCAAAATTTATGGAGACATATAATAAAGGCTTTTGATGAAAATAGCATGTAAAGAAATTTATAACCAAGTCAGCATTGTAAAAATACTCAAGAGAATCCTACACAAAGACAATGAGACCAACATCACCAAAGAGCCGAAAGAAAAGAATACATGTTACTGGGAGAGTAAACAAAAGGGAAAAATAAAGCAATCAGGAATGGAAAAACAATGCAATGAAAGGATTTAGTAAATACGTTTCAGTAATAACTCTCAATGCAAATGGTCTTTATGCCCCAATCAAAAGATACAGACTAGAAGATTAGATCATAAAACAAAGCCCAACTATATGTTCCCTACAAGAGATACACATCATCAAAAACAAAACAAAACAAAACCCCATTTAGATTGAAGTGAAAAGATAGAAAATGATACTCTATGCAACAGAAGCCCAGAAGCAAGCAGGAATAACTATCCTATTTTAGATAAAGTGCTTTAAACCATATTTTTCTCAGCAGCACATGGAACTTTCTCCAAAACAGACCACATTTTAGATCATAAACCATGCTCAAATAAAAAAGAATTGAAATAATAGCATAGTACAATGAAAGTAGTAATCAATAGCAAAAGAAACTACAGAAACTTTGCAAACACTTAGAGATTCAGTAATTCACACTTGAAATCAATGGAACACACACACACACAAAAGAAATCAAAGAAGAAATTAAAAAGTTCCTAGAGGGCCAGGGATTTGGCTCAGTGGTGCCGCCATCTGCCTTGCAAGTGCAAGATCCTGAGTTCGATCTCTGGTACCAGAAAAAAAGTTCCTAGAATCCAATGGCAAAATGTACATAGAAGGCGTTATAGGAGCACAGAGAAGTACCTCTACTTGGAAGAAATTTAAAAGGACTCCATTGAGGAAGTAATATTTTAGCTAAGGTTTGAAAATACACTATGTAGATATTTGTTAGAATGTCTTGAAAAAAAGCATTCTAGAAAGAAGATCCTGAGAATTTATATTTGAATGTTTTATGTTTAACTTGTAGCTACATATCTCATCTCCTGTTCTTATTCTAAAAAGTTAGTATCATTTAACTATCAGATAAGCTCAGTCTTAACATGAGGGATCTTATTCAAAACATCGAAAATTTACCAGGTTGTAGATTCCTTTTTTCATCCTTGCTAGAAGGTTCCTTGGTTCTCTACAAGGTGTTTAATAAGCATTTTTTCCTTTATAAATTCTTTCATATCTTTAAACAGAACCCCTAATAACCCAATGTAGGTTTCATTCTTGTTTTTGTTTAAAATTAGTGTATTTATTCCTTAATCCATTTTTCTTTTGTTTTGTTTGGTTTTGGTTTTTTGAGACAGTATTGCAGATTAATTAGATATCTTAGGGACAATCAAGACACATTCACTGAAGGCCAGAATTGTAAAAGGAGAGAAACTACTATACCACTGTGCTCCCTCTGGGGATAAATAGCAGTGATTGATATTCTAAATAGGTATCAATCACCTGCTGGTGGGCCAAGGTCTTAGCCCAGCCTTTCCAGGAAATATCTCTTAACCCCACCCTTACCAAAAATCCTTGTATGCTTGCTGTGTGACTTGCTCCCCCATTTGATCCCCATTTAATCAATATTACCTGGGTGACTGTACTTACAATCTTATTGACTGGTCATGGCTTTGTCCCACCTCATGCTCACCTTGTTAATTTCCATTGGGTCT